GACATCACTTTGCTGTCTGGGGTCGATCAGCAGCGTTCGATAAAGACCTTATTTATGACGTGGTATCCGCCCATCCAGCAGACATGATGTTGCTGATGCTCGGCTTTAATGACCTGGGATGGCTTTTCAGCAAGCCAATGGATGCCGTAGCCTCTCTTTACGGCCTGATAAACAACGCTCGTAAAGCGAACCCGAACCTTAAGTTTGCTGTTGCGAACATCCCACAGCGCAGCTTCATCGGCAGAGGTGACCTACCAGTTTCCACGGACGAGTATAATTCCATTCTGCGGCTTGCACTGCCGCAATGGAGTACTGAGCAATCACCCATACATCTGGTTGAGCTGCAGGAGCACTATAGCTGTGGCACGAGTAATTGCGAAGCTGGATACGATGGACTCCATCCAAATGCCCAAGGCGAGTTCCAGATCGCTCACGCCTTTACGCTCACTTTGATCAACGATTTCAAGATTGGATCTTCGCCACTGGTAGTACCGTCGAACCTTTGATATGGACGCACACTCTGGAGGAATGGTCGCTGGTATCTCAGAAGACGTGCCTAAATAAAGCGTTCCTTTGCCCTGACACCGCAACCTAACATAGGAAAATTTCGTGAAGATGGAATGGAGCTTGCCCTCACTGGGATTGGATATCCCTAGATGACTGCAGTGCAAATTCTGTCCTATTCAGCTGAAGGGAATTGCCCTCGGATGATAAAATCATGCCGATATTTCCATGACATTGGAGCATCATATCCTTGTCGATTTCCAAGACTCTTAGTAGCCACTCGGACCCCGTTGGCTTTGCAACGAATTGCACATGGCCCTTGTCATCGAAATGGTTGGCAATAATGCCCTGTAGCTCGTTTGTAGTTTTATATATATTAGTTACGGTTAGGCGGATAGCAAGCTAGACGGAAAGCTGTATGAACCCTGCTCACCGGAAAATATCATCCCACTCTCTGCATCCATTAACTCTATCATGGTTATTTGAGCGGGATTTGTACATTGTACTTCGCGAAAAGGTTGAATTTTCGACTTTCCATGCAGCCAGGATATCGGAACAGTTAGAAATCCAAGGAAATCGATGGAGTAGCAGATATATGAAGAAACAAGAAGACGTTATTGGAGGATATTCATGTATTCAAACTAGCCGTGAGTATTTCCAGAAGCGATGTCATTATGATCTCGTTGTCAATCCTTGGAATCTCCTTGAAGCTGTCCCAAACGCCAATTCTTGCCCAAACTCCAGGGAATGGAATGCCTTCCCACAAGTCCCGACCCATGCTCAAATTTCGCCCTGGAGGTGATACATACGAGATAGCACAGCCCATGATAGACTGGCACAACTGTCGTTATGAAACGTAAAACGATGCCACAATATATTGGGCTGGTAGGTGAAAGAGATCATGCCTCTCCGGGTCGTTTGCTGTTACACCCTACTATCTTTACCTTCTGCGCATGTAAGGTAGACTGGTCATCTAGCTTAAAAGTGACGTCTTTGACAAGGAAAGTCCAAACTTCATCGCAGAAACGATAAGTATCGAGATGACCCTGTACAATGAAGTGACGGGGAATATTCCCCTACATGTCAGCCACAAGCGAAAGAAATGGTTGAAAAGAATGGTTGACAACAGATAGCCTTATGCCACTGTAGCATGGGGCGGCTCGCACTCGTTTAGACCATTTTCCGGGTCAGCCGGTATGCATACCTTGAAGGAGAGCTTGCACTTCACTTTGTCCGCAAGGACTTCCGTAATGACGCGGTCAAAGTTGGACAGTATTTTCATGGCAAGCTGGGGTTCGATTCGGCCTTCGTTAATCAAATCGTCGAGGGTATCTGTCAGAGACAGGCCGATGCTGGTCAGAGTGAAATCATGTTAGCCTTGCGTTTTCCAGACAGCGTGGGTTGCCAATATACCTGCTGCCCCGGTACAGCTCATAGTAAGCGGGAGCACTCATGTTTCCACCCTTCTGCGGTAGCCTCCAACTCTCCACCGAACAAGAAGTAATAAACGAGCGATTTCGAGGAATCAGAGCCGAGCACTCTCCAGTCAAACGGCGCACGTTGTAGCTATCCTCGTCTCCCGCCCTTCTTGTTCTCTTTTAAAGTCTCTCCGTCATTCGCAAAAGTGAAGTCGATATCGACCATCCAAATCTGGCTAGGCAGCATCACATGACATTAAATCACGTGTGAGGCTTGAATTAATCTCACGTGATTACCATTTTAAGTTTAAAGGCTTGGCATTTGTTTATCAAATTTTCTTTTTCTTTTTTTTTTTTTTTCTTTTTTCTTTCTTTTTCGTTTCTCTTTCTGAGCTTCGAGGGATGAATTTTGATTATTTGAATGCCTTCATTTCAACATGGAATGCACTGGAGAAGCTACTAGGATTCAATGGAGTGTTTGGCCTCTGTCACTGCGGCGAGCTTGACAGCCTAATGGAAATGGGATCCTGTCCAATCCGCGGACATGGGCTGACTCTCGCTTCCGAGCGTTCAGCGTACATACATGCACATCCATAAACTTCCCTGCCATCAACGGCTGCTGATTCCGAGCTACGGGCAAGGATAGCTGATATAGGAGAAATGGATGAGCTATTAGAAGGCCATCTCCAAATATAGGAAACCCATGGCTATGACATCGCGCCGGTCCGTGGAGGGGTATGTCAAGCCTCTTTTTTTCCCTCCTTCCGCCTGGGACAGTATACTCCGTTGCATGGAGTATACTGGAAATCTCTTTAGCCAAGGGTGTCTCGACCAGCCTTTGCTGCCATTCATATTAATTGCCGACGCAATATTCAGGGAAGATTCAAATTCCAAGGGATGGTGGCTTGCTCCAATTGCAAATACCACTGCTTCCCACCTGGTCTTGACCATGGCGCATGGTGCTCCGTCGTTGTCTCTCTGGAATGTTCGGGATTTTAACAACACCCGGGTCCCTTGTTGACGGACGACTCGATCCCGTGCGTTTTGTGCTCATCGATTTCCATTCAGTCGAGCGCTACTGCGTTCTCTGGCTTCTAGAGCTCCGTATACCTGCTGCTCAACGGCCCACTGGCCAGGAAGCCGTCAAACATCCGGCCTGGTATGCATGGGTTGTTCATGAATCCTGATGAAAGGCTAGATCATGCTGCCAATTCTAAATACCACGGAGAATTTATATCCTGCAGAAATATTGCAAAAAAAGGAGAGCAGGCTCTTTATGCGCTCAACCTTTACCTTGATTTGCCCCCCGCCCTGCTGTGGCACATCGGCGGTGCGAGTGCGACCGGGGGTATATTTCTTTTTATATCGAATCCTTTTTCCATCCAGGGGAGATTTGCATTATTGAACTTAAAAAAATAATTGATGCTGCGTTAACTCTAAAATAGGTAGATGCATTTTCTGACTCTCATTGAGCAAGAAGCCGCCATGCCAATTCACCGTATGCATGCTGTCGAGAGCTGAGCGCGAAAAGAATCCCAACCTCTGCATTCTTTGAGAAAGGAAAGAAATTTCTTCGGATCACTGTCTATCCGTGGCTTCACGTGTAGCCGTCAAAAAGCTATATAAGTGAGCTCCTCTCTCCTTCAGTTCTCGAATATCCAACAGCAACAACAACGACAACGACAACGACAACGACAACGATCCATCAAGCAAGCAAAAGACATTCAAAGCAATTTCTTCCTCTCCCAAGCTCTCCAGCTTCACTTCATACCACTTCTCTTCACTCAAAACCACCGAGACTTCACTCTCATCCCAAATCATTCAAAATGTTCTTCTCCAAGGCCATCGCCGTTTGCGTCATTGCCGCCAGGTATGAAAACACAACACGGCAATGAATACTTCTCCCAAACACATCTAACAGTTTAATAGCACCCTTGTCAGCGCCTCTCCTGCGCCAGTCATCACCCCCAAGCCATGCTACACCAGGACTCTCTCCTACAGGGCCGCCTTCTGCCCTGCCACCTACACTCCACCATGTGATGGTCCTTGCTTTGTTGCAGTTACCACCTCCATCCCTTGCCACGACAAGAGATGCCCAACCACCAAGACCGTCAGCGTCAACTAGGGTTGCCCAACTTGCACTTCGGTTTGCCCAACCGTCACCAAGTCTTGCAGCGCTTCTGCCACTCTCGGCCCTACCCTGACCGCTTCTTAAGCGCATATGGATTTTACGATCATAACGAAATATGGATGACCGGTTCTTAAAAGCAAAGCTATAAAAAAAGTGAATTTTTCTTGGCCCGACGAGTTATGCCCCCAGTCTATTTCTTGTTTCCTAATTCAACCGCTCTATATGAGCCCTTTAATCCCCCGATTTTACCCCTAGCCTAGATCAGATAGTTGCAAACAATTAACGATATTAATGATGGAATCGTTCTCCAAATATATTTGGCCATTACTAGTATATACTATGTCGGAGTATACAGAACTCATCGATTGACACAGATCGACAGCCACAGACAAAACGCCATCGGGAACTTGCATCATCTCCAACTCAATATAGCTGTTAGTCTCAGGGAAATACAAGTTTGACACTCCGTTCACGGAAACGATTGCCATTGAGAATTTGTTTCAGCAGCAAGAAGACGGGAACTGGCGTAACCAGGCGCTAGTATCTCTGTCTCCGCTATGACCCACACTACCAGTTATCTCTAAGCCAGTGTTCCTCTGTTGTGGGAGAACGCACTATAAAGTGTAGTTCAAATCTCTGTACGCCATACTAAGAAGCACATATGAAACACCATGGACATCGTGTATTTCGTGATCGAGGAGTTCGCATAGCACTTAAGGATGAGGAACAAAGAAGTATACTGTCACGATGTGCAAGAAACTGACGTGGTTATGGGGTTGCAAGCTTGAGCCTGACATCTATAGCATTTGAGATGGGATAATAGTAGCCGAGACAGCTTCAATATATAAACCATCCATCCAAGCTGGAAGATACCAGTTTGATACGAGCATTCTGTAAACCAAAATATAGAAACCGAAAGAACTCTAAGCCACAAGAGCCATTGAGTCATGCAGTCCTCTTTTATGTTCGCGTTGGCTGTAGCCATCCTCAGGTACCTAAACCTTTGCCCCTGAATTTGGTGAAATATCAGAGTTGACACAACCGTTCTAATTCTATAGCTCTGTCACTACCGGACAACTGCTACCACCATCAATTGTTCCTGAAATCCAGCCTTACCCATCTGGTGCCCCTATCCTTCTTGTCTCCGGCTCATTCAGCCTGGGCCCTGCATCGTCGGAAACGGCATATCCAGCACCCGGTGACGGTGATGATGATGATGAGAATGGAGATGATGAAAATGACGAGGAGTCTCCAGTGATTACAGGCTTGCCAGGTATTCTGGGAGACCATGAACCAAAGACTCTGGACCCTGAACCAAGTGCTACCACTCTTCGGGTACGAGGGGATTCATCCATCCAGATGCTCCCTGAGTCCACCTTGACATCCGCATCCATCATGACTCGTACAACTTCTCAAGTAACGAGCTCTGAGCAAGTTCCGTCGACTCTGATTGAGGCTTCAACTTTGGACCCGACCTCTCTCACCCGACTAATTCCTGAGCCCAGCACGATGTCGGCTTCTACTCTGGCTCCCAGGGCTACTCAGGCTTATCCCAGACGAAGAAGACAGGCAAGACATGCGGGTTATACCATGACGACATCTACGATATCAATCTCAGATCCAACTTCTCGGACACAGATTCCCCCTGAATCTACCATGTCGGCAACAACCCTAGCAACGGTGAAGCGAGAGCATAACAGGCACACAAACGGCGTTTCCAACCCTCGTCCTCGCCATACGAATCCTGTCGGGGTATATCCTTCTGTCCCTAGCGTTAATCAGGCCGGTGCCGCGCCATGATCCATGTGCAACCTATGCCCCCAAGAAGTCGATGGCTAAGACCCTCCACACCATCGTACATGGTTGCACCGCCACACTTAGTTATGACATTAGGCTAGAAGAGATATGGATCCAATGGCGGTTGTTATTATGAAAAAGGGGCAAAGGGGAAAGGGGGCCTAATGCAACAGCATCCTGGTGATGAGCATTTGCAGGATAAAATATCTAACAAGGTAAATTTCTAGGACAGATAGGAACTAGAAATTGAAGCATTTCGGGATAACTGAGCCTAGATTGGCCAGTTCAGTCGTTTTCAGCCAATTCAAGGGGGTCTCCAATTGATAGATGACCAGGCAGGTAGTATTAACTTGTGGTTAATATTGCTTTATTCCAAACGAGCCAGGCAAACATGCGTCAACCCCAACCTATCTATTTTTTCCATTTCGTTGAAGAAACATAACAATGTATATCGTGGGGAAGAGACATCAAGGCATTTCAAGTAGTAAGTCGTAAAGCATGGACGTTTCAGGGACAAGAAAAGAAAGTAGACAACCAAAGTAAGACAAAGGCTCATGCACTTGATACCATGCCAGCCAAGACACCGGCACCAATGATGCCTCCGTCAGAAGCTTCTCGGAGAAACACAGATTTACCACTCTCTTGTGGGCCATCCCATATAACAAGACGGTCGATGAAGCCCTGGCATGTCTCCTTGAAATTCGGGTAGTGCTGGATAATACCGCCGGTGTAAGCAACGACCAACTCCTCAGGGCCAGATTGCCAACCAGATGGCGGCGAATCCATTGCCGGGGTAGAAGGGTCCTGCGGCGTGGTAGATGCGGGTCTATACACGCTTGTGATGGTATCCGTTGAATTGTTAAACGACGGGACTATGATATTGGTAGATCGTCTGGGGTTGGTAGCGCCATCGGAGCGTAGCTGAATCTCCTTTTGACATGCTAGAAGACCAACAACAGCTGCTGCAACAAGCCCTGCAGAGCGTGTCTGTACTATCCTAGCTGTTTTCCGGAATGCTCGGGCAGTATAGATGTCCCAGTTCCAGCTGCTTGATTCCGGAGGAGGTAGGGTAGATTTGAGCTTTGCTACTAGATCCTGATCGGTATGCGTGGGGGCTATGTGGTTAGATAGGTAGCTAGTTGATAGAGCGTAGCCTTGTATGAGGTTCGCTGGTAGTGACTTGGGCGACAGCTTGAGCACTGATGTTAGATAGTCGTAGAAGACGAGCCTGACCAGTTCGCCAATGTATCGTCCTCCAGTCATGTACTCAAATGGTTGAAATCCAGGTCGAGCACACTGCTCGTCGAGTTGAATATCCCATTTGGTAGTAAACTTCAGCTCTCGTAAGGGGGGAGCTGCGCCGCCAAGAGTAAACTCTGTGTTAACCACCGTCTCTGTCGCATCAGGCTGCTGTGCGGAGACACATTTAGCCTTAGACTCGTGTAGGTCCGTCAGTTTCATTGGTATTGTGGCATTGCATCCTGTTCCCACGATGAGGCCCATGGCAACTCGGCTGTTGGGTAGAGACTTGACCATGTAGGCAAGTGAAGCGAGAGTAGCAACTGTATCGTTGGTGATGGCTGCAATTTTCAGCTTTGGCAATGGGAATCTCCTCCGTCGTTTGGTAGAGGGTTCGTCGGAGCCGTATGGACGTCGGGTATGCCGGTCATAGCCCGCTAGTAGTATCTTACCCAGGTTTAGATCCGATGTGATTGCGAATCCTTTGCCCATGGGCATCAACGTAGCCTCTGCCAGCGAATCTTGCCTATCCAAGGGAGTTAGCCAGATTCTAGCAGCCGTGCATATCATCTTCTCTACTTTATCAAGTAGATTTATACATACATCATGGGAAAGCTGAAGGTAATGCCCATCTCAAGCTCCTCAGGGGCATCCTGGACGTCCGCATCGGTAGCTAGGCTGTCCGCCACCACCTCGGCCATGCAGTCCCCGATCCACAGGAAGAGATCTTCGGCCTTGTCCATCTTGAGATGCTCAGCTATCGGCCATGCTTTCTCCAACGTCCGTCGCACTCGATGCCTCTGCGCCTTTCGGAGTGTATCACGTGACTTTTCCATGTTGGAGACGGCTTCGCTGGCCGGATGCCCGTTGCTGCTGCTGCTGGCGCTGCTGTTTTCCAGGTCGTCGGCGGCAGCGCCGAGTAGTTCGATGAAGGCGACCCTGAGATTGCTCCCGCCAACATCTATGGCTAGGTAGCGCCCCGTCTCCTGGCCGTTTGGCAGCCGGGTAACGGGAGTGGGTAAGAATTGCCGGTCAGAAGTGCGCGCGAGCTCGAGGTAGAGCTGGGAGAAGCGGCATCCCAGCTGGTACAGGCGGGCATCGTTGACGGCGAGGGGTGCAAGGAAGTTGTCTACTGTCTCGTCATGCATCAATTGCTCCTTGTCGCCCTGCAGGTCTAGTCCGGGCTCGCCGTTGGCATCTTCGTCTTCCCCCTCGAACGGCTCAACGGCAGCGTTGTGGTCACTTTCGTCCTCTTCGATACTGTGTACAGACATGATGGACGTCATTATCGAGGTACGGGTGACGGTCCAAGAGGTGTTGTGCTGATACGGAGGCTGGCCTGGAGTATACGATCTTATACGGAGAGATCAAAGACGGTCCCGTTAACTAACTAGTTAGTTAGTCAACTGCCGGCTCGCTTCGAGAGGAAAACGGTCTCCGAGCTGCCACCGTCGCTTGTACGCTAGAGGGTATTCGCTGGCGATGATAAGGTAGGATAAGGCGTTGTCAAGCGATTGACCGATCTAGATCGTAGGCTCTGATCCGTGGAGAGATTGGAGATATAGAAGGCGAATAACTAGAGCAAACCCATACACGTCAGACCAGTACGTTTGACAACCAACATGTCAACGAACAGCAGACTTCACAAACCCAGACGACAGGCCCCTTTTATAACTCGAGGCGTGGAAGCCTGCGACAGAGGGGATATTCTCGTATGACTCTCGGGATAAAATAGCGATGTGACCCTATCACGGCCGAAGTGAATAGTTATATAAATATTGGCCGGACCAAGAACCGCTCGACGTTGCTTCAGAATAACTGACTAGCTAGTTAACCTAGCGAGGTGGAAAAAAAAAGGTACGGAGTCACGGAAGAACTGCGAAGGCTCAATACGATGCTATCGGCTACCTGTATGCTGAGTGCTTCGGCTGCCGTCTGGTGGTCCTGGTGGCAGTGCTGGAGGCGATGGTGATGATGGTAACTAGGCGACAGACCCCCCCTTTAAACGGCCTGCCGAACAAGCAGCTAACTAAACTAACCAAGGGGAAGGGTGGTCTTTACAGGGAAGATACAATGCAAAGACCAGCTCATTTCCACCATCGATATCGCTTCAGGGATCTATTCTCTTCGGCAACGAGTTGATGTGCAGTCATATCGGGATATCAGGGGTGGATCAACTGCTGGGATGCATTGTATGACCAGATATCAAACTCCCCACCGAGATATTGAGCACTCTCCCTTTAACCGTAACTGACGTCTTAATACTTAGTTACCCGCGAACTAAAGTGGGATAACGGTTTGCTTCTGTGCCTTAGCGGCGGAGATCAAGCAGGGATGTCCCATTAAGCAATGTGTATTAAGATGCTATAATGCACTGGAGCCAAAGCGGCCGGGACTGAGGAGACAACCCTCGGCCTAGACGGTCTCTACTCTGGCATTTTTTTCAACTCTTCTAGATGGAGTTCTGGCTGAGCAAGACTCAATATATCGGCATCAAAACCAATCTCGTCCAGCTATGTTCCCTACCTACGAGAAGAATATACGGACTTGCTAAAGCGGATTCCGCGGAAGGATTGATGCAACGCTGTGTCTGATGCCTGTCAGTCCTGGATGGTGATCTGGAAGCTTAACCATGGCCGCATCATCTTCTCCTGATAAGCGGAACCACCACCCGTCCGGTCTGGAAGATGTTGCATTTTCATGCCATTCACGGTCCACACCGGTCAGTTGTCGCAGTTGCATCATTTTGATACTCCTTTGCACATCGCCCTTCTGCCTGGCTTCTTCCTAAAATCATCATACACTCGCTAAATTTTTTTAAGCTTGACTGCCCGGTCATCCGTATCCCTGGTTGGGGGCTAAATTAGGCAGGAAGAGGTGTTCCTGGACATGGACAGCCCTTGTCTGGCTAAGGGCTTTCTGATACGATGCCAGGGCTTCCAGAACAACAGGATCTCCACGTACCAGCACCTTGAAACTCGGCAGGGTAACAAGCTACGTAATGTTGGGCGCAGAGGCGAGGACCAGAAACCCAGGGTTTCTTCTGGCATCTTTCTTCACTACTTCCAAGCCAGGTCAACCGTGAAGAGGCAACCAACAAACCTACAACGTAGTATCGATATGGCCTTCTCTCATGCTCTTTGCAGGGATCAGGAATGTTCAACCTTTGCTAGATTGGCTGTTTGACTGGCTATTTGACGCAACTTGCTATGCAGGATTAAATATCCGTATCAAACTGCAGCTTTGCCTTCGGAGTTGGCATCTCTTTTGAGAACGTCAAGCGAAGGCTCTTCCCTTATCCCTTGATCCTTCATCTTCGCCTACGCACCTCTCTCCCTGGCTAGTTATCGTTGTCCTGTCTTCCTAGCTTCATTTTCATCTCCTTTTTCTCGCCAGCAACAAAAAAGTGCAGGTGGTGTTTTTGCCTGTATCACGTGGGACAATTACATAATCGTCCCAAAGGAACGTCAGAAAAGCGACGTCGAGGCCGTCAACGAAGCTGAATGATGGACGATCCAATATCAGCCAAGTCATTATTATATACAGACGGGCGATGAAGACGGGGATGTTTGTGTGATACAGCTGTATAGGGCCTTGCTGACTCACCAGTGAATAGCAACACCTCGGAAATCGGAGCTATGGTCGATATGAAGGAGAAGTATGATACTATCCCGCCGCCTGTTCCGCACCAGCAGGATGGCCAGAAGAGCTCCAAGGCGAAGAACTTTGCCAGACACTGCTTGATAGCCGTGTTTCTGTGCTTGACGGTCTTTGCTGTGCTGCATAAACCTCACTTCCCGCAGAAGTACATCGATGCTGTGAAGGATGCTGCGTGCTCGAGACATGGCAAGCATACCTCCACCACCACAGATCCAGACAACTCGAAGAAAGTACCCTTTGAAGCACATATTATGAGCAAGTGTCCGGATGCGCAGTCATGTCTGCACGACCTAGTGGTGCCGGCCATGGAGCAGGTTCACCGGAAAGTCGACTTCAAGCTCTCTTTCATCGGATCGTAAGTCTTTCTCATCCTACGGTCTACAGCTACTATTCATATACTTATCCACTTATCCAGAGCCTCTAAAGACTCATCCGCTGTATCCTGCCGCCACGGTCCACCAGAGTGTGTAGGTAACATTCTGATGCTCTGCGCAGCCAACCTTCCGTACCCACCACAGGTCGCCAGCTCCTCCTCTTCGCGGGAATCCAAGTCCTGCCCCAACTACGAAACAACGCCCGTTGTTCG